CAACAAGAATTATTAATTTCTTACCACTTTGTTTGTAACTCTGTATTGTCTGTACTGTTCTTTTGCTATTTTGTAAAAGGTTGTCTGTCTGTTAATGTTTACCTCCTTTTATTTTTAAAATTAAAAAAAGTATAAAAATGCGCATGGTAATGATAAAGCAAAATCAGGACAGAAATCGCTGTAGGGAAGGAGCATATTTCACTTAGAGGATAGAAGACTTTCAATTCCATTAGTATGATTTCATTAGTTAAAAAAGAGGGGAAGCAATACAGCAAATTGTTAGTATTTGTTAAAAATGGATAATGAGTACATGAGTGTTTGTTGCACTTTTCTCTATAGTTTTCTGTTTGAAATAGCTCATTTTTTTACAAAGAAAAAGAAACTAAAGTCAAAAGGCAATGGAAATCTGGAAACAGTATTTGAAAAAAATTGACCAAAAGTTAATATCTTTCAAATTGATGAGAAATAGAGAAATATTTCCATTAAAAAGGGGTCAGAAGAATTATGGCAAATACTATAAGTGGGTATATTAGTAAGAATTCTCCAGAAAACAGAATAAAATGTGTGTATATAGGAAAAGAGCTTTATGTTTTAAGAAGTTGCCTTACACAATTATGATGCTCACAAGTCCAAACTCTGCAGGATGGGTGAGCAGGCTGGAGGTGCAGAGAACAGCTGATACTGCAGCAGCCTTTAGAGTGGAAGGTTGCAGTGAGCATCCTTTAAAGATGAAGTAAACTCTGTCTCTAGTACAAAGAACTGGCTTGCTCATTATTTGCTGGAGAAGTAGAGGATTCCCTACTTTTGCTGCTCCTCAGAGATAACACAGACACTCTGTAGGTAGAGCATCTATCAGGGTCCTTCCCTGTGAGACTTGGCAGAAGGGGATCTTCTACTGCTTTTAGTACTATGAATAATAGAGTCCTTACTTTGACCAAGAAGTATGTGCCTTCTGTAAGTACCCACAAAACCATGACATTCAAACACGGTAGCTGCAAGTAGAGAAAAACCAAATCCAAATCTCTTACAATAAGAGCACACATAAATTACAGTTTGCACTGACGTTTAGTGCAAACCAAATTAATTTTAAAATTACATCAATTTCTTTTGACAGGAGCAACTGTTCGATAAAATGATGCATCAATACTATTGAATATTATACCACTATTAAAAAGGAGGTTTTCTACCTATATGCATTGATTGAGTTATGTGTGCTTGAGTGTATACGTTTATTTGATTATATATTAGAATGAATGCAGAAAAAGGTATGGGAGGATTTTGTTTATCTCATGGATTGGGTTGGAAAATGTATATTTATTTATTTATATAATTTATCTTACAACTATATCTACATACATAGTTATATATGGTTTATATCTTGGTGTTCCCTAAGAACCTCATGTGCTCAAAGGCTAGGCTTTGAGAAGGTGATTCAATTGTAGCTGACTTGATGTTAGCAAGTGGGGTCTGGTCTGAAGAGGCAAATCAGTAGGGTCACAGCCTGGAAGGACCTTGTGCCATGCTCTCTGCCTTGGAGCCAATGGACTATGAACTAAAACCTCCAAAAACCATGAGCCAGAATATACCTGAACTTTAATTTGTGGATATCAGGTATTTGTCCTAGCAACACAAAAAGTAAGACATAGATGTAGATTGATATAGTTTGACATTCTACTTTTTAAAAAGAGTACTAATTTTAATAACAGGAGTGATTTTAATGAATCACAAAAAATTTCATAGGTCCATAAAAATAAATTGACTCCAAACCACAAGTATAAAATTAAGTCATTTTGTTTTTAATGGGGATGTGCTATAAGCATCTCAGAGTATAAACCCTAATATGAGAGATATTCTAACACGGCATTCCCTAACCCAATGCACAAATTTGGCAGAAAAGTGTCATCTCTCTGATTAATTATATTATCTATATATTTATAAATTTTAATTTATTAGTACATGTGTGTAGTATATACTGTTTACATTCCTTACAGGAGGTTGGTACACACAAATAATGCACCACCATTCTTTTTTATCCCCTTTTCCTTCCAACCCTTCCCAGTCCACTCATTTCTTGATACCCTTGCTTTTTTATATTTTAATTTCATGTACACTTTTTCAGTACCTAATGTTAACATTCTTTATGTGGAGTGGGTAAATGTACATAAAACATCACAATAACTTTTTTCATCCCCAACCCCTACTCTCCTCCTCCCTGCCCCATCTCTTGATTCCCTTCTCATTTGAGAAAGATCTACCTCCATACTTTGTATTATCTATCTTTTATTTTGCTTTTTATTGTTACTTTGCATTTGTTACACAAGACACCATGTGATATTTAAGATTGTGTTTCTGATATATTGTACTTAAGACTATGGTCTCAAGAGGCATTCATTTTCCTATAGACGACTCAAATTTATGTTTCTTAATGGCAGAGTAGTACTCCATTGTGTACAAATACCTCATTTTCTTAATCCATTCTTCAGAGAGACATATGGGATGCTTGCAAGATTTGGCCATTATGAATTGCACTGCTATAAACAAAGATATGCATGTATTCCTATAATATGATTGTCTTAGTTACTTTTCTCTTGTTGCTGAGAGAAAAATACCTGACCCACTGGAAAGGAAAAGGTTTATTTAACTCAGTTTGTAGAGGTTTCAGTCCATAATCATCTGGCTCCAAGGCAGGGTGGCATGGCAGAGCAGTGACAGCTCATGGCAGCAGAAAACAGCAAAAGAAACAGGAGCAAAAAAGAGTGGTGAAGTGATGGAGACAACTACAAAGTGGCCCTGAACAGGATTTAATATTATTCAATTGGCTTTCCATGTTTACTTATGAGTTGAAATCTTAGGAACTTCGTCAGGGTATGTGCAGTGGACTCAGAGTAAGTAAACCTCTGTAAGTCACTGATCACCACTGAGGTCTGCATTGGCCTGTGAAGCTGTGATGCCTTAAGGGACAAGATAAGGCCACAGCTGAGGACTTTTGGCTCCAACCCCAATTAACTTAAAGGAGACTGTAGCTGCAGGCATCTCCACTCCTGCAGTGAAGGCTTTCCTGGAGATAGCACTGTTCTCCTAAATTAACATAATGTATTACTTGGAGAAGTCCTTAAAAAGATTCCCGAATCCTGCCAAGATTCTTCCATTTTTTTCAGTATCCCCCTCCTTTATTTGTAAACCAAATAAATACAGGCTGACCAGAGAAGTCTTGGTCTAAACCCAGAGAATATTGAAGCTGTAAGAGAGTTAGACCCTCCTGGAGCCCTGAAATCATTTCAATTGTCTCATTTATTTAAGCCTTCACTGTCCACTCACTTGGGAGATTGTGGTCCTGATCAGCCTGCAATAACTAGGAATTATTTAACCCATTAGTGAAGCAAGCCTCTTTCTGCCACTTTTATTTTATCCAGACTGCTAGGATTAGGGTGGTGCCAATCCAGTCAGTGGAGTGATCCAGCAATCACCCAGCCTTAATCCCAGCACTCTTATTCCCAGCATTGCACTATGAATCAGTCACAAACTCTAGATTTAGATGCCTCCGACTTAGTGGTAGTGGGCGCCAGAGTGGCCCCCCAGCGAGGCGAAGGGAGAGTTCGGAGGCCGGTGTCCCTGCCCCACGCCCTTCCGCAGCGGCCGGCAGAGAGCCCGGGCCAGCCGCGGCAGATCGCCCTGGAGCCTGGGAGCAGCCTGCCAGGAGCAGAGGCCTCGGAGTTCGGCGGCGAGGGTCGTCCTGCTGCGGAGGTGGCGCGGTCCCGGGATTGCTGGCTCCGTTTCCTCCGGGTGATTGCTTCCGCAGCTGACACTGCAGCAACCCACTCGGATTCCTCTCGGCCTCAGGAGTAGCGCTCAGGAGTAGTTCTGCTGTGGGCCTGAACGAGAGCTCACGAGGAGATCTGTCGCCTTTGTTTTTAAAGCCTGTACAGGGGGCTTTTTTTTAAAGCCTGGAGGAGGAGGGTGAAGTCAGTTGAAGTGGGCATTTGAAGGGGCTTCCAGAAACAAACGAACCTTTTTTCCTGGCACACTGTGTATTTCACCAGCCTTGCACCTTTTCGGAGCTGGGTGTGGAATTCTTCCCTTTTTGGTGTGTGGTGGCATTTCCTCCCCACCTCCAATGTGGACTCCAAAGGATTTGTCCTTTCTTTGCAATTTGGAGCGCAATGATGGCAACACGTCAGACTAGTCTGCCTGAAGGAGATGGTGACAAGCTCAAGGCCAACGGGTTCCCCGCCTGTGAGGTATCAAAAAATAAAGATGGAAAAGAACGAAATGAAACTGTATCATCATCCGAAGATGAAACATTCTCCTGGCCAGGTTCCAAAACAGTTATGTTGAAAAGAACATCTCAAGGCTTTGGTTTTACATTGAGGCATTTTATTGTTTATCCTCGGGAGTCTGCAATTCAGTTTTCATATAAGGATGAAGAAAATGGAAACCGAGGAGGAAAAGAAAGAAACCACTTGGAACCAATGGATACCATATTCCTTAAACAAATTAAAGAAGGTGGACCTGACTTGGAGGTATGATAGACACTGTGAAATGATAGGAAACCACTGAAGAGTAAAGGGCTTCTGGGATGTGGGAAAAGAGAAGGGAACGAAGGAGAAATTTTGTATGTATGTATATACAGGATAGATAACATGGTTGTTCTTCTGTCTTCTATTTCTATGCTGAAAGAAACTGTCAATGAGTCTTTGGTTGACCAGTATTGCATGTCTATATCTGTTTTCACGAGAAGCCACTTTGAAGATATCAATATGTAATACAACCACCATTGTTAATTCCCTACCACTTTGTTTGTAACTCTGTATTGTCTGTATTGTGCTTGTGATATGTTGTAAAATGTTGTATGTCTGTTAATGTTTCCCTCCTTTTATCTTTAAAATAAAAAAAAAAAGAAGGTGGACCTGCGTTTGAAACAGGATTACCCACAGGTAATAGAATCATTAAAGTCAACGGAGAAAGTGTTATCGGGAAGACCTATACCCAAGTAACTGCCCTAATTCAGAACAGTGGTACAACACTGGAATTTGGTGTGATGCCAAAAGATGAAGATATTCTCCAAGTGGCATATTCACAAGATGCCTACCTGAAAGGCAACGAAGCCTACAGTAGCAATGCCCATAACATACCTGAGCCTTCACCAATTTGCTATCCCTGGCTGCCACCTGCCCCTTCAGCCATGGCACAACCAGTTGAAGTGTCTCCTCCAGGCTCATCATTGAACAAGCAACAAACCACAACACCAGTCCTGACACAACCTGGCAGAGCCTATAGAATGGAAATACAATGCCTCCATCACCAACAGATGCTGCAAAATCAAACACAGCAGTGTATGTTTGCAATGAAAGTATAAGAACTGTCATTATGCCTTCTGAGAATGTTGTAGACTTTTTACCCAATAGAAACAACCACACAGGTCCTTCACATAGAACTGAAGAAGTGAAATATGGTGTAAATAAGCAGACCTCTTTAAAGACAGTGTCAAGAACCATATCACCATCAATTCCTACTGCCCATCTAATTCATCAGACTACAGGCTCCAGATCATTGGAACCTTCTGGAATTTTACTTAAGTCTGGAAATTACAGTGGACATTCAGAAGGAATCTCAAGCAGTAGACCTCAAGCTGTGGATTCTCCTGCTATATGTGTTAATCACTATTCTCCAAATTCCCATCAACACATAGACTGGAAAAACTGTGAAACTTACAGGGTATATTGATAACACACGATTGCACATATGTTGTCAGACAATTCAAGAAAGGTTGGATAGTTTAAGGGCAGCATCTCAGAACACGACAGAGTATAACCAAGTAGTACCCACCAGCACTACTTTGCAGGTACAACATCGAAGCACCTCCCATGATAGAGTTCCCCGGTCTGTTCAGATCGGACAACGCAGTGTGTCCCAGGAAAGACTGGAGGATTCTGTGCTAATGAAGTATTGTCCAAGAAGTGCCTCTCAAGGAGCACTGATATCCCCATCTGTTAGTTTTAGCAATCATAGAATTCATTCATGGGATTACATTGAGGGACAAGGTGAAACCTTAGAAAATGTTAATTCTGAAAATAAAATACCTAAATCAAATGGGGAATAAAAATAGATATATAAGTGGAGTGGGTTTACTGAACAGGATGATAGACGAGGCATTTATGAAAGATCCAGGCAGCAAGAAATTCATAAACCTTTTCGAGGTTCAAATTTGACAGTGGCCTCAAGTGTTGTTAATTCTGATAATAGGCGTATCAGTGGTAGAGGAGTGGGGTCTGTGTCACAGTTTAAAAAAATTCCACCAGATTTAAAAACGCTGCCATCCAACAGAACTTTTCCAACTGCTAGGGGCATGTCACTGCTTCACGGCATCTCAAAGGACATGTCCCCTCTTGTGAAAGCCTGAAGTAATTCTCTGAAAGTGCCTTCTACACACATTGCAAAACCGCTATTTAGCAAGAATTCATTGGTTTCTGTCAAAGACCAAAGACCAGTAAATCGTTTGCATCAAAACAGTGTTTTCAACCAGCAGACCTGGTTCAGGACTGAAAGTGCTCTTGATCACCAAGGGGAGACTGGGGAGTCTTCCCCATCATGTGGAGCTTCTGTGAAGCCTGGCCCTCACCTGAGTGAGAGCTCAGGCACTGCAGATTTAGAATTACCTGCCAGTCAAAGGAACCAAGATGCAAATTTACAAGAGGCTGATATTCACCAGTCAGATGCTTTAGATAATAAAGAAACTGTCATCCTAAGAGAAAAGCCTCCATCTGGCCACCAAACCCCACAGCCTTTAAGGCACCAGTCCTGCATCTTGACCGTGAATGACCAGGAGACTGGGTCTGACACTGTCTTGGTTACTTTTCTCTCCTTGCTGAGACAAAATACCCAACACCCAAAATGAAGGAAGGAGATGTTTATTTAGCTTACAGTTTGTGGAGGTTTCAGTCCATACTTGCCTGGCTCCAAGGCAGAAGATAGCAAAGCAACAAAAGAGCAGAGGGGGGAATTACTAAATTACTAAAAGAGCAAAGGGGGAAATGGCAGCCGAACAGCAAAGCAGCCACAGCAAAAGGGAGGAATCTCTGCAAGCAGCCTCTTTCCCTGCCTTACTTTGTAAACAGGCT